GGGGAAACCTGGGCAGGTGGCAGCATTTTGGGCGGGAGAGAAGGGGTGGCTTCCAAGAACCTGGGTTGGTGTGACACACCTGCCTTCCTGTGCCGTTCTGGGAAAGTCCCTTCATCTCTCCGGACCTGTTTCTTTCAAACGAAGGATGTTCACCAGGGTCGAGGTGAACATCTAATGTGACAATAGAGGAATCCTGAAATGTCAAAACTGGAAGGGCCCTAGATACCAATTTGCCCATTTTACCAAAGGGCAAATTGAAGTCCAGAGAGGGAAAATGAGGTCCTCAGGTCCGAGTTCCGGGCAGACTTGCTGTTTTCACTGCTCTTCCTTCTACACCATGTCTGCAGGGGCTCCTGCTTAGCAGATATGCAGATACTCATCATGGGAGCCTGGGGAGGGGGTCCTACGGCTGAGTTGCCCTCCGCTCCCTCCCCTTGCAGGTCAGTGACCGCTTCTTCCCATACAGTGCCATCAGCACCGATGCCATCCTCAGCCTGGATGCCCATAGCAGTCTTTCCACAAGTGAGGTGAGGACTCCCAAGAGGAGCCCTGGCAGCCCTCAGACCCCGGGAGCTGGGGTGACCAGAGATCAAGAAGTCGAGACTCCTCCTTTAGGACTTTTCAGCTCCTAGCTGCAAAAGCACTGTTTCTAGCTCCCAGTGGGGAAAGTTCCCCTAAGCATCCCCTGGAAATTTTCTAGCTCCCTTCTCCTCTCCCCTGAGTCCCCTCAGCCAGGCTGGCCTTGCCTCCACGTCTCGGGAGGCTCCTGACTGGGCAGGACGTCCTTCCTCACACCTTACTTAAATGTCTCCCCAGGTGGACTTCGCTTTTGTGGTATGGCAGAGCTTCCCAGAGAGGATGGTCGGCTTTCTGACGTGGAGCCACTTCTGGGATGAAGCCCGTGGTGGCTGGGGCTACACTGCCAAGAGGACCAACGAATTCTCCATGGTTCTCACCTCGGCTGCCTTCTACCATAGGTACAGACGCCAGCCCCGGCGCTGGGCTCAGAGGGCCAGAGAACCCTCCTTTGAACCAAGAGCAGGGTGGCGTGGGAGCGGACACAGCAGTCAGCCGAGAGCTCAGAGACCCAGGTTCAAGGCCACTTCCTGGTGCTGTGATGGGCAAGTCTCCTCACCTCTCTTGAGGTTCAGTTTCCTTGTCTGTAAAGTGTATTCACCTCACAGGGCTGGTATGATCATCAAATAACAAAAATACATGAAGGGCTTCCCTGGTGGCGCAGTGGTTGAGAGTCTGCCTGCTGATGCTAGGGCACGCGGGTTCATGCCCCGGTCCGGGAAGATCCCACATGCCGTGGAGCGACTGGGCCCGTGAGCCATGGCCGCTGAGCCTGCGCGTCCGGAGCCTGTGCTCCGCAACGGGAGAGGCCACAACAGTGAGAGGCCCGCGTACCGCAAAAAAACAATAAACCGAAATACATGAAGTCCTTGGCACACAGATAGTCAACAAATGGCAGCTTGTTGTTTTGTTTTTGTTTTTGTTTTTTGCGGCATGTGGGCCCCTCACCGTCGTGGCCTCTCCCGCCGCAGAGCACAGGCTCCGGACGCGCAGGCCCAACGTCCACGGCCCACGGGCCCAGCCGCTCCGCGGCACGCTGGATCCTCCCGGACCGGGGCACAAACCCGCATCCCCCGTCTCAGCAGGCGGACCCCCAACCACTGCGCCACCAGGGAAGCCCAGCAGCTAGTTGTATTTTAAGTAGAGCCATGCAGAGGATATGGACAGTGTTTGGATTTGGGGGTGGGTGAATCCACAGCCTTCCTGAAGCTGGTCTTTGGCCTGCCATGTTTGATGGCCTTGGAACTAGCTGATCCTCCCCTCATTCTGGCTCTGAGTTCAGACTTCAGAGCCCAGGGAAGGGGGCCCCAAGGAGGAGTGAGGGAGGTGGCAGGGAGTTCACCGTTGGCTGCAGACAAGCCATAGAGCACAGAGTAGTGGAGAGTGGTGCATACTTGGGGTGAGAGCTCTCTGAGGCAGCCAGAGCTCAGTTGAAAAGGGAGCAGGACTTTCACAAGAAGCTTAGGAATTGGGGTCAAAGGGAGAGTAAGGTCAGGAGGGAGAAGAATGGGGCCTGGGGGGGGGGCGTTGAATTCGGCTACAGCCTCTCCCGCTCTTCCCTCCTTACCCAGGTATTACCACACCCTCTTCACCCACTCCCTGCCCAAGGCTCTGAGGACCCTGGCAGATGAGGCACCCACCTGTGTGGATGTCCTGATGAACTTCCTAGTAGCATCCGTCACCAAGTTGCCCCCTATCAAGGTGCCCTATGGGATGTGGCATCAGGAGGCCAGACCGCCTCCACTGGTGAGGATCTAGGGGGGTGGTCGGCACTGGGAGGGCCCCGGCTGGGGAAGGGATTCCCGTTCTAACCCTAACCCTTTTTGCTGCACGAGGCGGGGGTAGGGTGGGGTTCCGAGGACAGAGAAGCCCTCCAACGCATTTCTCCCCGCCCCGCTTAGGAGCCTGGGGGTCCGGGGCTCAGGCAGGAGCCGCAGCCCGCAGCCCAGAACTGCATCAACCAGATGGCGGCAGGGTTCGGCCACATGCCCCTGGTATCTTCTCGCCTCCGTCTGGACCCCGTGCTCTTCAAGGACCCGGTGTCCGTGCTGCGTAAGAAGTATCGCAGCCTGGAGAAGCCCTAGGAGGGACTAACTGAGACCCCGGCCCGGCTCCCAGCGGTCGCTGCAAACTGCCTCAGGGGAGGGGGAAGGCTCCGCCTCCTCCCTTGCGGTATCTGGAGGCCCAATCAAGGCTGCCATTTAGCCAGCACGGCAGTACCCGATTGGTCAACCACCGCTTCGCCCCCCACCCCCCAGCCTAGGCGCTAGTGGCAGTTCCCACGTCGCTGTCTCTGGGGCCCTTCCTCTGCCTTCGCAGACCCCTTGCCTGGAATGCCTTTCTTGGCTTCTCTGCCGAGCTGACATCTACTTCTCTTTCAGATCCTCGCCTCCTCCACGAAGCTGCCTGACCCCCACCCCCGCCCTGGATCCTCTGCGCTTTCACAGCCGGGTGTGTCCCTTAGTCCCGACGCTATTCATGCTGCCTCGCAAGGTACATCGTCAGGCCCCAGGACTGACCCGGGAGTCCCGGGAGGGCAGGGCCGTGTCCTCGTCTCTCTGGCCTGGCAGGTGCGCCACAAATATTTGACGAACAGGTAGACGGAAGTGACATCAACTACATGCCTGGCTCTGTGGCGACAGTGGCGGGGGTGTGGACAGGGTGTGCGGAGTGAGACACAAAACTGCACCTCCCACCCCCCACCCCCGGGTTTTTAGTCCGGCCGGAAAGCAGCTTCTCGCAGAATCCTGGGCGCAGCCCTCGCGCCCCAATAATAGAGCAGAGAAGTGCCAGGGAGCCAGTTTCGGGGCTCCCTTCCCTACCTGGCGGAGCACAGTTGGGGGAGGTATGGGAACGCCGGTGGCCCTGCCGGGCCCGGGCCCGGGCCCCTCGGCTCAGGCACTGCCGTCGTTCTGCATTACCAGCCTGGACCACTAGTGGTCAGCACCGCGCCGCGCTCCCTCCCCCCGGAAAGGGAAGGAAGCTCGAAACGCCCATCGGGTGGGATTAGGGGGAGTGGGGATGTCGGGATTGGTGGTGCGCAGCTTGAAGTCGGAAAACTGGTTGGCCCACACACTTAGGACTAAGAAGGGGCCATTTCTAGGTGGGCTGTGTGGGAGCAAGGGAGGTCCCGAGCGACCAGGTGGTGAGAGTGGACAGGGGGAGGGGACGCTGGGTTCTCCTGGGTTCACCCACCTGGAACTGGAATGATCACTTCCGAAATAAAGCGCGTGTCTTTGCCCCTTTGCTCAGGCTATAAATACCTCTACAGCAGCTGCGCGGGGGGAGGGGGACTCAGGTCTTGCCTGGGAGCTGGGGCCACTCTAGAGGAATGGGGATGTGGGTCCAAACCAGCTCCAGGGTATCCGGTGTTATTCTGCTTTGATGGCCTCGCAGCTTTGGAAACTCCCGTGACTAGTGATTAGCTCTCTGGCCAGAACATGGTGTCCCCAAGGCCTCCCACGTCCATCCTCCTGTTTGACCTCTGGCCCCTGGATGACTCAGGTCATCCCCAGAGCCAGTCACAGCGTGGGATGCAGAGAAGGCTCTTTGGGGAGGCGTGGGGCTGCTATATTCTTGAGATGGAGGGGGGACTGGGAGTTTAAGGAGAGGGAAGACAGTCTGGCACTGAGTCAAGGACAGTTGTTGAGGAAGCACACAGCTGCAACCCAGGCAGCCTTCCCAGAGTGGGGAGGACTCCAAGTGCCAGGCCCAACTGAGGGAAAGAGACACCTTTTCCCTCCCCACTCACAGTTGCAGCACCCAGAATACTGAACTACCTTGGCATGGCCTTGCCTGTGGGCTGCCAGGCCCAAGGTCTCATACTGTACCAATATGCAGCCCAGAGCAGGTCCCCAGCCCCTGCTGTAGGGGGAGGCCTAGGGCTGTGGGACTTTGGGCAAGTGACTCAACCTCTCTGAGCCTCAGTTTTCTCATCTGTAAAAATGGAGGACAGCAATGACTGTCTCTTGAGAGGTGTGTAAGGACTTGGAATATAGCAAAGCCCAGGATCCAGGTTCCTGCGGCCTGCCATGGCTGGGGGGAGGGAGGAATTTGATTCCTAAGATTGGGGTGGAGTGGCGCTCCACCAGCAGTCACACACGCACACACACACACACACACACACACACACACACACACACACTTCCAAGCCAGCACAACTTCCCACAGACTTGAAGGGGCCGAAGAACCCTCAAACCTAGATCACAGCCAACCCTGGATGACAGTACTGGAAAGGCACAAACAGGTCGTTTCACAGATGGGAAGAGAGAGGCTCAGAGTGACCAACCCCTCCTCCTCCTGCTGTGGGTCAGGACAGAGTCAAGACAAACCCAGTGCTGCCCCCCGAGGCTGGGAAGCCCACCTGGCCCCTCAGGCCATCCTTCCAGAATGATGATAAAAGCACCCACTCTCCCACAACCACCATATGCTCAGCTGACTTTAGTTCCAGTCCTCACAACAACCCTGTGAGGTAGGTGTCAACATTCTTTGTCCGCAGACGAGAGGGGCACTGACCTGCCTAAGGGCAGAGACAGACCACTAGATCAGAGCCACCTGATGACTGGGCATGCTGCCTCCTCTGTGAGACTGGGGACAGGTCCCCCGGCTTCATCTTGGAAATATAAGCCACCTCCTAATTCAGGAATCTTCACACAGACCTCAGGAAGCCAGGGGTTCCTGTTCAGGTTGTACCCTCTGTGTCCTCCATCCCCAAGTTTTGAGCAGGCCAGGCCATACCGACAACAGAGCTGGCCCAACCATACCCAGTGTCAGGCTCCCTGACCCCGGGACACAATCAGGGCAAGAGGAGTGGCCCAGGGCCTGTGGGGCTGTTTGCGGGGGACCCAAGCTGAAACCTGTGCCCACCTCCACCTCTCCCGCCAGCACACCTTTGTGTTGGCACAGCTTCCTGGGCGTTGGCGAGGTGGGGGGAATAAAGAAAGAGGAAACCAGCAGGTCCTTACCTAGTCAGAAGCCCCCTACCTCCACGAAAAGGAAACATTTGGCTCTCAGTGAAATGACTCAGGCACAGATCAGCCTCAGGTGCCCCCTGGCTCCCCATCTCAGGGGAGACCCGTATGAGTGTGCAGAGTCCTCACAATTCCCCAACTCCCCATGGCCTCCTTGTAGCATATTGTTAGAGGCAGAGGAAGGGGGCTCTGTCCCAGGGCTTCTTTATGGATTCATAAGGCAAAGGCCAGACAGACTGAAAATGGGAAATGAGGCAGGCAGGTGAGGGGACAATGAGTCTCCCCTCTGTCACCCCTCACTATGCCCCACTGCCTTTCCAGAGGCTAGTGGTAGGGCGGCATTAGCTGAGGATGAGGCCCAAACCCTGCCCCACTGGGAACTGGAAGAGTGGGGTCACACCAGCTTTACACCTGCAGAGTTCCCATCCCGGGGCTGGCGGGAGTCAGATGGGGGAGACGGGGAAGAGCCCGTTCCTGGAGTGGGACGAGCCTCCTCCACACTGAACATGGAGCAGCAGTCAGGAGAGTGACCTGGTTTATAACCCACCTGGGGTAGGCAGAGTCCTGGCTGGGCCTGGGGGACACTCAGTCCAGCCGTCGGCAGGCCTGTCCATGCCCCAGTTGGTGCCTGGCCAGGCAGTCAGTCCGAGGGACCCTGGCATGACTGACAGTCCTTCATGTCCTCAGAATAGTCCTCTATCTGGATGGTCACGGTGTGGAAGTGGAACCTACCCTGCAGGCAGGTCCTGGCTGCCTTCAGCACAGCCTGGGCGTCTGCATTCCCAGCTGGGGGCAGAGAGGACACATGAGGGGAGGCACCAGAGAGCCGATGACTCACTCCTGGACCCTTAGGAATGATGAGGAGCCTCAGTCTCATATCCTACCCCCAGCAGAACAAGATAGGGGACGATGAACATCAAGAAACCCCCAGACTCACTCCTGTACCAGGCAACCCTCTGGTTCCCATACCTGGCACAACCCTGAAAGAGCAGGAAAAGCACTGGCTTTAAGGCTAGGAATCTTTCCTCTGCCACTGATTAGTTGTAAGAGCCTGGGCGAGTGACCTTATAACCCCCCACCCCCCAACCTCAGTTTCTTCATCTATAAATGGGACCGTGATGACCAAATGAAATAATGTATGTCAAGTACTCAGCATGGGGTCAGGTCCGATGCATGGGCACTGCAAGCATCTGGGGTCATCTGGGGTCATCTGGACCCATCAGGGATGGCCCCGGGCCTCCCGCTGCCTCTCTCTCACCCACCCCAAGTGTTCCCACTACTCACCGATGGCGACATGGACAGACAGGATAGGCTGGGCCACAGTCAGCGCCCAGATATGCAGGCTGTGCAGGGCTTCCACCCCCTCCACCGACAGCAGCAGATCCCGCACAGCCATGAAGTCCATGCCCCTGGGGGTCCCTGAGGATGGCAGGGACGGGGGCTGAAGGAAAGGGCGCCCTCCCACCCACGCTTGTTCCTGCTCCTCAAATGTCCCCTCACTCACACCTCCTTGGCCTGACGTTGCCCCCACCTCCCAAATGACCCCCATCATCTCACCCTATTGTATTTTCCTCTTCACACTTAACACTGTCAGAAATGATCTTATTTGTTAGTTTCTTGCTGTCTCTCCCTCTGAAGTGGAAACTATGCGAGCAGGACAATTGTTTGGTTTACCACCCTATCCTCAGTGCCTAGAACAGTGCCTAGTCCCACAGTATATGCTCTATTAAAAAAATTTTTTTTTGTCTTCAGCAAGTGGTGCTGGGAAAGTTGGACAGCTGCATGTAAGTCAATGAAGTTAGAACACACCCTTACACCATGCACAAAAATAAACTCAAAATGGCTTAAAGACTTAAACATAAGACGTTGACACCATAAAACTAATAGAAGACAGCATAGGCAAGACATATTCTGACATAAATCGTACCAATGTTTTCTCAGGTCAGTCTCCCAAGGTAACAGAAATAAAAACAAAAATAAACAAATGAGGGCTTCCCTGTGGCACAGTGGTTGAGAATCCGCCTGCCAGTGCAGAGGACACAGGTTCGAGCCCTGGTCTGGGAAGATCCCACATGCCACGGAGCAACTAAGCCCGTGCGCCACAACTACTGAGCCTGCACTCTAGAGCCCACGAGCCACAACTACTGAGCCCACGTGCCACAACTACTGAAGCCCGCGCGCCTAGAGCCCGTGCTCCACAACGAGAGAAGCCACCGCAATGAGAAGCTCACACACTGCAAGGAAGAGTATCCCCCACTCGCCACAACTAGAGAAAGCCCGCGTGCAGCAACAAAGACCCAGCGCAGCCAAAAATAAATTAATTAAAACACAGAACAAAACAAAAAAAACCTACTTTAAAATAAATAAATAAATAAAATAAAATATGGCACAAATGAACCTATCTACAAAACAGAAACAGACTCACAGACATAGAGATCAGACTTGTGGTTGCCAAGGTGGCAGGGAGGGAGAGGAATGGACTGGGAGTTTGGGGTTGGTAGGTGCAAACTATCACATGTAGAATGGATAAACAAGGTCCTACTGTATAGCACGGGGAACTATATCTAATCTCCTGGGATAAACCATAATGGAAAAGAATATTAAAAAAGAATGTATACATGTGTATAACTGAGTCACTTTGCTGTACAGCAGAGATTGGCACAACACTGTAAATCAACTATACTGCAAATAAAAAACTTTTTTTTTTTAAAGAAGGGAACCTGGGGATTCCTGCACCCACATAGGGAATCCTGATCATCACTTTCATCTGGGTCAGTCACATTCTTGGAGAAAAAGCTCTGACCTGCAGCCAAGCACTCCTGTTGACCCCAAATCAGGATCTAGACCAACCCTGACCACACAGAGACCTATGACCCAAGATCCTGAGCACAAGCAAGCTGGGTGAATGCGTGCGGTACCTCAGGGCAGACCATCTGCCACCAATCAAAGCCCTGCTACGTCCTCTGGAGGTGGGGTCCTCAGAAAGGAAGGCCTGAGCTGCAGTGGATTCCGCAGTCTTGTCCAACACCAACTGTCTTTTTCTGATCCTCAGTCTGCCCCGCCCCGACCCCACTGTGCAATGAGAAACATAAACCTCACCCCCCAAGGGAAGGCAAGTGGAGACTCAGGAAACATGAGGAAGGACTGGAGGGCCAGGTGCTACAGACACCAGCTGGAAGTCCCCTGCCTAGGCAGGGAGGACACATCCCAGCAGGGAGGAGGCACCCTTGGGGGTAAGAGGAAGGAAAGGACGATCCAGAGAACATTTCCAGAAACAAGCACACCTGAGGGCCCTGCTCAATGCCAAGATCAGCCCGGGGCCCCAGGAGGTTCTCCAACCTATGCCAGGCTCCAGACCATGGCCCCCCACCAATGTGCTGGGATGCACCCTACACCCAACACACACACACACACACACACACACACACACACACACACACACACA